CTATGTCATAACATTAAGTATGACATCCAGCTTAACTTATAGTTAGCTTAGTTAACTTACCCTGCACAGTCCATATTATGAATGTAGTAACATCAAACATGACATTCATATATGTACTTATATTTTTCCACAAAATGCAGCCAATCAAGAGCACTTGCAAAAATAGAAGCAGAGTTAAATAAATATTTGAAATGTTGCACCAGATGGTCTAAGATTTTCTCCTTGCTAGTTGTGACATTGTTTCTAACTTTCAAAGAGTGCATGGACTTTGTTAATTTTTTTTTTCATTTTGTGGAAAAACTTTGTGTTCCTATCACCATCTACATGCCATTGAATTCAAGCTATCCTTCCAGAACATCTCCTCAATACTAAGAGCCTGATCCAAGCTAACGTGAGCCTTTTTCTACTTGAGCAACCAAAACATCTGTGTGAACTTCTATAACAATATTATCCTGAATTTCTTTAAGGTCACTTTAAGCCTAATTTACCTTTTCGTGCACATTCCCAAAACTACTAATATTCCAAGCTTTAATATTACCTTTCATAATTTACAACTTCTTAGTTAACACAAACATGGAGTAATCTACAATATTTGATTTCCAAGCAAGATCCATAACTTTCTGGCAGACCATATGAGTAGTCCATATTTGAAGGAGTTTAAATTGAGACTTGAAGCCATCAACTTGACAATTGAAATGCAAGAACAAATGGTAATGGTATGATCTAGTTTTCACCAAAGTGAAGCAAGCAAGTTTGGCACAAGAGCCCATCTAGTCTTGACAACCAAAGCTGGAGGCAGCATCAAGCCAAATCCAAGAAGAAAGAAGTTCCTAAGAAGCAAGAACAATGGGTTGTTAAGACTGTAGCTCTAATAGCTAACATTTCCCTAAGAATGCCAACCAATGAGGATTGGTATTTTGACAGTGGCTGCTCCAGGCATATGAATGGAATTGAGGATCTGCTGATCAAACTCAAGCCTCATTCATCTAGTCATGTGACCTTTGGGGATGGAGCTAGGGGAGAAATCACAGGTGCTGGACAACTGGACAGTCCTAAAGCTCTAGAAATTGGAATCAAGTCAAGAGACAATTTCAAAGACATAAATGTTACCACTGTGGAAAACTTGGGCATATTAGAGTTGTGTGCTTCTGGTTGCATGGATTTCCTAGTCAAAGAAGTGATAACCAAGGTAAGCATCATGGACAAAGGCAACATCATGACAACCAAAGCTGGAGGCAACATCAAGCCAAACCCAAGAAGAAGGAAGTGCCTAAGAAGCAAGAACAATGGGCTGTCAAGAATGTAGCTCTAACAGCTAACATTTCCCTAAGAATGCCAACCAATGAGGATTGGTATTTTGACAGTGGCTGCTCTAGGCATATGACTGGAATTGAGGATCTGCTGATCAAACTCAAGCCTCATTCATCTAGTCATGTGACCTTTGGGGATGGAGCTAAGGGAGAAATCACAGGTGCTGGACAACTAGACAGTCCTAAAGCTCCAGAGTTGAGAGATGTCTTGTTAGTTAAAGGACTAACTGTCAATCTAATAAGCATAAGTCAGCTATGTGATCAAGGTTTAAAAGTACACTTTTCCAAAGACAAGTGTGTGGTGACCAATGAAGAGGGTAAGGAAGAAATGAGGGGATCTAGATCCAAGAACAACTGTTACATATGGGAGCCCAAAAGTAACATAAATGGATTGGTAAATGAACAAAAGGATCACCTAGGACTAGAGAAAAGAACCAGGTCCAAATCATCAACAAAAGGAGTCCCAAAATATGCTTCAGAAAGAAGGGTTTGGTCTAAGAAAAGTCAGGTAAGAAGGCTAGACAAGAAGGGATACCCTAAGATTAGCCATCAGGTAAAGCTATATGCTAAGTTGGAACCTAATGGAGTCCATGGAGGATACTCTGCAGAAGAGAAGCAATGTCACTCCTGATGTTATGACCCTGTTCTGTGACATCAACGGATTCATCCAAGAGAGGTCTGCTGATCTCAAGAGGGGAATGCTCAGTGGTAGAATGTGTAGATGGACAATGACGTGTGGAAACTACGAGGGCTATGTACTGAATATTGTTGACAGGGGTTCAAAAAATATAAAGGAAGTTCAAGGCAAGATTGAGCAATGGAAATTGAGTTCCTATAAGGCAAGATTACACACAACTTTATCTAGTCTTTTTTTGTATGATTTATACCGCTTCTACCATTGGACCAGGTGAATCTAGCACCACTAGTGGGAATATGCAAAAGATGGTTGATATCTATCCACCTACCAAAATCTTCCATATGACCTCTAGTAGAGCTATGAGACGCACTATACTCATGAGCCCCTATAATTATATTAAAATATCCAATGAAACACCATGGCATTTTATACAGATGAAGGGATAAATAGCATATATCCTCATTTCCTTACCATATCACTCAAAACTGGAAGAAATGTGTTGGTTGTCTAAGTAAACAACATCAGGAGAAATATTAGAATCACCCAAACACCAGAGATAAGGGCTAAGTTCATTCCTATTATTAACAGCAAAAAACTTGAGATTAAGTCTATTGAGCCAACTAGTAGGAAACAAATTTTTATCCATCCAAGGTTCAACAATTAAAACAAAATGAGGTTTATAACTCATAATAAGCCTTTTTAATGCCAGTTTTGTAGGAGAGTTGGCAATACCTCTCACATTCCAAAAAAGGAAATTCATGGGGAGTTGTAGGCACTTACAGACCTTAACCTTGTAATGTAATTACTTCTAACCACATTATTTTTTATGACTTCATCTTTGATTTGGATCTGACCTTTTGAAAGCCTAATGAGTCTACTATAACATTACCCTGAATTACAATACAATCTTCAGTCACTTTTATAATTGTTTCATGTTCAACCATATTAGCCCAAGAGAAGTCAAGAATTCCAAGTCCTGCTGCAACTTAACAGTTTTGTTCAGATCAACATTTTTGTTGATTATTTGAATATCCTCAATAAAATACGAGTCCTCTTCTGAGGCATCAACCTTCTCTTCATCATTATACACAATATTCACATTGTTCACCTGAATATCATTGTTGGAATCTGCAGCAGGTTTGAGCATGGGAACAAGATGCATAATCTGCCTAGTACGCCCTACTATGTAGAACTCAAAGTTATTCCTTTTGAAAACGGGTTGCCCTATTTAACAACTAAATAATCATCCTTGTCTTCTTCCAGTTGATCTTGAGTTGTAATTTCTATTAGCATTGTTGATCCACCTTCATCCGGTCTCGCATTAGTACCTTGCACATAAGCTTTCTTGATAACTTTTGAATGATTCCCTTTATAACCATCAATGACAACATCTTCCCATCTGCTTTTCTAATACCCTGTATTCATTCCTTTAACACCCTCTTCTTCAATTCTCTTGCAATTTTCCAAACAATGACGTATCATATTACTATTAGAACAGAATTATGGTAGATTCTCATATTCGAGTTCAACAAAAAAAGTAAACCCATTTATCTTCACCAAGACGTTATATCTCAACTCATTAGACAACTATAAATTCATAAGTACACGTACATAGTGATAAGTAGCCGATCAAGTTGTACTTGTTTGAAGCAGAATCAATACATAATGGAATTCCAATGCTACTAGCAATTGAGAAAAAAGTTTTGAGCCTTCATTACTCCTTAAGAAGCCCATGAATTTGAACTCATACATGAGCAAAAGATCGTTTGAGCAGGCAAGGATTGAAATCTTTGTACCATGGAAAAAGTTTTAAACCCCAAGATTAAGATTCTATATGGTTATGGATCTCACACGCGTTACATCCTCAATCGAAGAAAATGAAAATTCAAAATACCATTTACCTAGAGAAGTGATTACCCATTTCACAATTGAATTCGAAAAGGTCAGGAGCTTCGTTTTTAGATTCTGAACCGTTAATGGAGTCGTTCCTTTTGGCCAGATAATCCTCTCATGTAGATTATGCTTACAAACTTCTAGACATTATTGACAGGTTCGATAAACGACTTCAGTTATTTCTCCAAGTTCATAGCTTTTCAATTCACTTCCTTCGTATCTGAGGTCTCACCTAAACCCTTTAGGAACTTTCATGGTATAATCGAGTGTCTCATTGAAATTTACATTAAATTAGGTTGAAGATGAACAGTAAAAATCTCCCATCAACCTCAATCTCCCCTCATTGTATAATTTTTATACTACATTTGTCTTTCAACTCTTGTGCATGTTGTTTTTGTTTGTATTTTACCAAGTTATTTTGCCTATATTATTAATAATAATTTTTCATTCAAAAATTAAAACAATTTTTAATTAATATTAATTATAAATTTTAATAGTACTTTTAAATATTATAGATAGATAAATTAATAAAATACATTCATAAATGATTAATTCATAAATGATTAAGAGCATCTTTAGTGCAGGTTCCATAGTATTAAATTATTTAATAGTAACGGTAGTTATAAACAATTTGCATTGGAATAAGAATGACATGACAGTAAGTGAACTATAACAATTAGTTTTCGACAGTTATATAACAAACGTACACTATCAAATTTCAATGGCTCTGATTATTATTTTATTATTATTTTATAATATTAAAATATAAAACGTGGGGTCAAATTTTGATTGTTTACAAGCAACCATCGCTAAAGTAAAAACAACTCAAATCAACCATAAATTTTTTAAATCCTACAAATCATTTTGGGTACACAAAAAATATCTTAGTTTATTAATTTATTTTACTCTCACTAAAGATACTCTAAAGATATAATTAAAAATATATATATACTAAAATTAACAAATTTTACTACATTTCTCCATTTTATATATTTTTTAAAGATTTATTTTATGCTTATTAAATCACTTATGAGTTTTGTCATCATTCAAACAAACATCAAATATGATAATATATTGAAAAAATAAAATTCAAGATCTGAGACTCAATATAAAACCTCATACAATAAGATGTGAGGATATTATTAATTATATTTCCTCAATTAATAGCATTGAGTATCATCATCTAGCTCATTATTCTCATGCTCATTTAATCCACAAAGTATACAACATGAGCATGTGTGTGTATTAACAGTAGTGTCACATCTACAACGACGAGCCTGACCACCTTTAAACCTTGCATTCATTTCAGCATTACAGTCACGTTGAGCATGTAGGCAGTCACCACTCAATCCTGTAAGAACTTTAGGGCAAAATTTGACATTGGGTTCTATACCTACATGAACAACATTATAGAAAAATCATCGTTTATAATAATAATAATAATAATAATAATAATAATAATAATAATAATAATAATAATAATAATAATAATATACCAGATCCATAGCTAAGGTTGAAGAGAGAAATCAAAGCAACCACAAGTAGGAGAATGCTTCCTAGCTTCATGATGATATTAAGACACTTAGTATTATCAAATAGAACTTTGAAAATGTTGGGACAATGTATAAGAGAAATGGAATACATATATATATGCATTAGTAAAGCTTACGTTATATTAATAATACCTTTTGACTTTATTTATGAAGTTATCTATAAATTTAAAACTACTCTAAAGATGGTTAATTTCTGTTGTTTTATAAAGAGACACCTGTATTTAGACTGACAAAAAATCATTTTTTAATTATGAAAAATTTTTTTAAGTAAAAACTAATTTAAATATATTTTGTTTAACTATTCATAATTATTAAATATGTCAAATTATCAAAGTTTGGTAATAATTATAATGGACAAAATGTATTATTATTTATGTGAAAGTTTGATTTCATTAATAAAATATTGATTGTACAATTTATTGGGTATTTAAATAATATATTTAAATTAACATATTTTAGTTTATTTTAGTTTTATTATTGATATCTTAACAATTAAGAAAAGAATTGAGTATTTTGTATGATTTTTTCATATAATTAATATTTAATTTCCTTTTGATTAAGATTTGTCAATATTAATTTTTTTATCCATTTTTAATTGACCTAAAAAAATAGTACAAATATTAGTACAACACAAGGGAAACAAAAATATTTCAACCACCAAAATACACAAGCTCACACGAAAATCTAGCTTTATCTCTAACTTTGCACAAATCTCTTATTTACTTCAAGCACCCCTTACACTTTTATTTCACTTATTTTCTTTTAATTGAGTTATTTATTTATTGATAAGTTGCTTAATCTAAATAAATATCAAAATAGATAATATTTTTCAATAAAGATCAAACTGGGAATCAAAATGTTTTTCTCAATAAAAATAAAATTAAAAAAGAAAATTAAGTGAACACTTCTTTTATTCTCGAGTAGTCGAACATAAGGTGCACACTTTGTCTAAATCGATTACTCGTCTTTCATAAATATGATTTTAAAACATTTTGTTGTGGCAACCATCGTTTATTCTTTAAGTGTTTAATCGGTATTTTCCTTTTAAAAATAAAACTCCAGTGGCGACTCTTGTTGATTTTGAGTGTTTGTTCGCTTAGGTGTTTTTCGCGCCGCGACAGTTGGGGATACTCGAAATTCAAACCTAGTGTAGTAGGTTTTGCGATATTTTTAAGTTTCGTCTGAATTTCTTCTTAAGTTTGTTTTTGCTCATACTATCTTGTTTTACTTTTATCTTTTTATATATCTGTCATATATATTCATTTGCGGTTTCGAAATATATCATTTGAGTGAAGCTCCATACTCGAGCTTTGAGAAAACCCTAAGATTAAGTTTAGAGATTGTGTAGTGTTAGTCCCCCAAAGTGCACATCTTGTATGATTAGCAAGAAGACTCCACCTATAGTAGGTTTTTTTGCGAATCTCATCATAAAATGGCTCGCTCGTTGCATGACGAAGATCTGGTTAAGGTCTGTGACTTTAGGAACCTATTAGAACCACATTGTTAACATCCATTTGAAAAATATTCCAATGATGAATTGATGAAACAATAATTTGAGTGCAAATAGTAATCATTTATACCACTAGAGAAAAGGTTTCTTCATAATTCTTATCATATTATTGAGAAAATCTCTTAGCAACCAGACATGCTTTGAAGCATTCAACTAACTGATAAAACTTATAGGGGAAAGAGGGATGTCAGTATCAGAAGTAGAAATTATATAAGTGTTACAATTTTCAAAATTATAATTACTATAAACATTAAAACCAAAAGGATATCTATGAGTGAGTTTCAAACTACAAGTAATATGCTAATTAGAGGAAAAATAGTCAAAAGGAATGTGTTTAAAAAATACAACATAACAAGAAACATGCAATTTTATTCATAAAAATATTAACAATGATAGCCTTTTGACCATCCTCGTAACCAATAAAAATACATATTGCATAACAAGAAAACAACTCAATATGTTCTCACTATGCTAGAATTGACTTTTAGCAGCGCATACAAAGACAACGCTTTTAGAAAAAGCGCTGCTAAAGAGTAATTAAAAAAAAAAGAAAAAAAAACAGCATACCTAAGACAACGCTTTTTTAAAAGCGCTGCTAAAGGGGTACCCTAAGAAAGCTCTTTATTTAAAGCGCTGCTAAATGTATGGCCTAAGACAACGCTTTTCTAAAGTGCTGCTATAGGGAGGTCCTAAGAAAGCGCTTTTCTAAAGCGCTGCTGTAGGTTGTTGCAAAGAAAGCGCTTTCGTTCTAAAGCGCTGCTATATGTTTTTGCAAAGAGCTGCCATAAGTGTTATTAGAATTAATTTAAAACATCACCAGAATTTTGTAAACTAACAGAACAGTGTCGCACGTATTTCCTTCTTTCTTTCTCCTCTCTGGCGAACGTGAACCCTATTCACCACGACCGTCTCCCTCCTCCGTCCGACAGTCGCGCTTCTGTCGCCCTCCTCCGTTCAGTCTGTCTTGCATTTCTCCGTCATTTGACCGTCCGTTTTCGACAGCATCCTCTATAGCGCATTTCTGCCATTGTTACGGTATTTGAAGTTTTTTATTTTGCATTTTTCTGGATTATTGTCTTAGTATTTCATTTTTCTGAATTATATGATATTAGTGTTACTTCTTTTCTGAGTTATTGACTTTTTTCTGTTGATACCGTTGATGAGAATTACTCTTTTGATATTGACTTGAGTTTTGTATACAAGGTGTTTGTTGAAATGCCACAATGAATTTACTTATGTTAACTTTGAGTATATCTAGCAGTATACAAGGTGTTTGTTGAAATGCCACAATGAGTTTTGTATACAAGGTGTTTGTTGAAATGCCACAATGAGTTTTGTATACAAGGTGTTTGTTGAAATGCCACAATGAATTTACTCTTTTGATATTGTGTTTTAAAATGATAAGAAAATATGTAAATGAAATTTGTTTTTTGTACTAAGCAGTTTATTTATTGAATTCGAAAATAGACAACTATTTGTGAAGTGTTGTAGTCGAAAATATGTAATTGATTTACGGTTTACAATTGTAAATGAGGGTGAAATTTGTAAATGTTTGAGGTTATTAGATAATATTGTCATTTGTAACCTTGAAATCTATAAAGTTTTATTTAATTATGTTGATTATTTTTAATTATGTTGACGGTTACATCTTTAAATTAATTATACTAACATGTTATATGTATGTGTATTTGTTTGCAGAGATCTTTTAATATTGATGATTGCAGAAGAAAATATTGTCTTCAATTGGCCGGTAAACGACTGAGGGGATTCAGAGTGTTTTTAACGAACAAGTTTCTTAAAGATTCTGATGAAAACTTTGTCGACTCGGAGCGTCCAAAGAATTACGCTGATCTGATTTCGAAAGAAGAATGAGAGACATTTGTTGCGAAGCGAAGAACCACAAAATTTTTAGTAAGTACAACTTATCATGAATAATGTATAGTATATATACTTCTTCCACAAGAGTTTTGATATGACTTAAACTTGTTTTTTCAGGTTGTGAGTGGCGTAAATCGGCAACGGACATCAAAACCCGCGTATCCATATAAAAAAGGGCGTTTGGGATATGCACGCTTAGAATAAAAAATAGTAAGTATATATAAATGCTTTAATATGATATAGTTACCAAAATTAGTAAGTATATATAATAGGATATGAATGCTTTATTATCCGTCATAATGCGTAGTTAGAACAGGAGAAAAGTGATGCGACATCTCTTCTGAACCATATTGTGTGGAAGGCTGCCCGTGTGGGAAGAGATGGAGTCGTTCAGGAAGAAGTTCAACAAGTATTTGAACAATGTGTAAGTACAATATTAGTTTTGTCAGTAACTGATCAAAAGTGTATAATATATTTATATATGCTTTTATCTATATTTTAGGAGACTCTATCCCAGAGTATAACTCCAGCTGAGGACGATGATTGCAGGAGCATACTGAGTCGGGTGTTAAATATCCCTGAGTATTCTGGACGTGTGAGGGGTAAGGGATTTGGCGTCACTCCATCACAACTGTATAAGCAACCAAAGAAAAAAATCCTAACAATAAAGAAGTGATGAATACGTTGGAGGAATTGAAAGCTTAGATTTGGGAATTACAGAAGGACAAAGAAAGATACATGTCGGAAAGACGCGGTCCAGATCAGGGTAAAGATACTAGTGACAAAGATAGTATCAATTATCCGCAGAAGCTTCCAGAGGTAATTGTATATATTACATTGAAATTAATTTAGCACAATTTTCTTAATTAACACATTAATCGGCATCATTATTTGTTCAGGGCATTTCACCTTGTCGCCAATATTTATCGTCACCGACTTATCGCATTGGCAAGGGAAAGGTGCATAACACTGTGGGAGACTTACTTCACCATAAACCACTCCCTGCTGGATATTTGAAAGTATCGGTTGATATTGCGTTAGAGGGGGGTGCGTTTTTGCCTTTAACAGATGCTGTTTCAGACGCAATAGTGGTGGGAGACGCAATAGGAGCGTATGTTGCATGGCCGACAAATCTCATTTTCATGGATGATGAGGTATGTTGAACACCATTATGAACCTTGTAATATTCAAATGTTTTACGACCCATAGATGAAAGTTATTCTTACATTTTCTTATTTACATGATGATCTTAGACTCCTACAAAATCCAAATCAAAAGATAAGGGAATCATTGTGCGGAAAACCGATTCAGTTGCATCAAAGAAACAGGTACTACTACAGTTACATGATTATCTTATTATACATTAATTACTGAACTTGTATGACTTTTAGGTTCATGATCAACAGTTGCAACAAGTCAGCAAGGGTAAGATGCCTGAATCTTCCAAGGTGCCCAACAAAAAAAAGGTCGAGCCAAAAAAAGCATTTGTTCCTCGATTTAGGTTGTGCCTTGAAACATATGTAGGAACAACAGATGTGACTGAGGGTGGCATCCGTCAAATACCTATGGAGGAAGGTATTTTCGGTTTTGAATATACCGAAACAATTGCTAAGGAGGATTTGGAC